GTATATATATATATATACACGTAATTTTCGAATATATTACTACTATTCATAAATACTACTACTGCAAACTACAAATCAAACTTCAACAATATGAAACAAAGTATACAGTATGTATGTTCAGTGCTTTTATGTTCTTTAATTTGCATTTGACTTTTGTGGTACAATAAAAAATTTTAAAATAATTAAATGTACGAGAAACATAAACAGGCAGATATATTTTGTTGAATTGTCTTTATGTGTATATTACCATATTTTTGATTGTTAAAATATCCTGTATTGGGTTTTCTCGCTTTAGATGATGAAGAAGGTAGGCCTATTTAAAAAGAAATTTCTTACATCAATTATTCTTGCAAGGAGATCTTCAGCAGTTGCTACTCCACCATAATCTGAAATCATAGGCTCAGGATGCCAAACAGCGGTTGTTAGTCTGTTACCAATGCAAGTAATATTTGCCACTGACTGTCCATCTGAATATTTCGAAATTACTTAATAAAAATTAGGACATACTGTAATTTGCCAATTTATAATATGGAACTAGATGATAATCTAGACCACTTGCACTTTTTACATTCTTACATTTAAGGATGCAATGTTATAGCTAACAATCTTATATGGTAATGATAGTGGCAAGGTCATAGCAATAGGGTCATTATATCTCCACAACCACTGGTGGTAAAGAGTTAATTGTGGTGTCAATATGTTCGGAACATTAACATTTCTATTTGGTTTAATAGAAAAGTTTGCTAGAAAATTAACCGGAAATACTGTTTTTGACTTTTGACATGTTTCGAATGTCATAGATATTGAGTCCTTATTATCTCCACAACCATTGGTGGTAGGTAGTTAAGTTTGGTGCCAATTTGTTCGGAATACTCATGTTTCTATTTGCACTAACAGAACATTTTAATAAAATACGACCGAAAAAGCTGTTCCTGACCTTTGACATGTTTGAAGGTCATAGCCATAGAATCTTCATATCTCCACAGCCACTGGTGGTAGAGTCAATTATGGTGTCAATTTGTTAGGAACATTCATCTTTCTATTTGGTTTAATGGAACAGTTTGCTAAAAAAAAAGACCGGAAATGCCATTCTGACCTTTGACATGTTTCAATGTATATATGCCTATCCCTATTCATACTTAGTGTGAGACTTGATTGAGATCTCAAATTATTCATTTACACATGTTTCTGTTTATTTGATTGGAAACTTTTCTTAAAACAAATATGGCAATACTGACCATTCACCCATGTTACAAGGCATTAATCACATGCCGCTGGTGTTACTTGTATAGCGCCTTTCTTTTCAGTTATGAAGCACTGTAACCGACTCTCAACAGTAAGTCAAAAACATCTCATCCCCAGTAAAGTTTGCATAGAATCAAACCCAAACCAAAGTGTGCTAACATAACTAATGCAATAAAGTGTCTGGAACCCAAAATATGTAACAAAACGTAATTTCCAGCTTCATTACATGCTATGTGCGTGGAAATGAACATACAACGCGTAAATTATGGAAAGAGTAGGAATACTGAAAATGACATGGCCCGGGCTTTATCAATCTCTTAGTAAATGTCTTAAGTTAAAAAACATAAGATGACCCTAAGCAAATATCTTAAGATGATTTATCAAACCATTATTAGCAAAATCTTAATGTAGAAGTCGTCTTAGATGGCGCATGCGTACAATTGAGCATGCGTACAATTTAAGCAATTTTAAAGCTAAGCCATATTGATCAATCTGAATTAAGCAAAAAAAATTTTTAGTTTGCTAAATCCGGCCTTGAAACATTCTTTAAATTATCTGAGAAGTGATATTGAGAATTTTCAAATTTTAACACACACGCACGTCACGAGGTGTGCGTGGACCGTAATGGCACACGAAATAAAACCATGTAAAGTGTTTTTAAAACCGCCTGTTGGTAATGCCACACAAATTTTTCCTTCACATAACCTATATATATATCAGTCTGATAGCGTCGAAATACAGTCTGCCACCCTCTGTGTTCTATTTTTTTTTACATCTTTTAAGAAAGAGAGATAAAAGGGCTCCAAAAATTCATTCTTTTTGACCATGATGACATGATCAAAATGAAAAATAAAGGGACACTTCCGAAAGATAATTGTCTCAGCTATAACATACTCACAGGTGGGAGACGATCGAACAAGAATAAGCGAGATATGTTCAAATGAGTTTAAAAATAATGACGTTATCAATAAAAATTCAGTATTTTTAAATTCAGAAGGCAATATGGTGACGTCACAATGTCCGATCAGCCATAATGATCTATAGAATCGTATCTACAACTCATGTGCTTTCAAGAATATGTAATAAAAATTGCGGGTCGTGACCTTTCATCCTGAGAAGCTATAACTGATTAAAAATATTCATAATTTTAATCATATACTGTATAAATTTGGACGCACATGTACGCGCACGGTAAAAAGCGCAAACGGAAAATTAGGGTACATGACTTTCAACCTTGACCTGAAGTTTATGCTCTCTTAATATGATTCAGAAATGATGAATGGTTAAGATGATATGGGGTCATCAACATTTTGAGGAATCAAAGATGAGGGGGTCAGAAAATACAAAATGTAAAAAGAAGAAAGCAAATTGTCTCAGCTATAACATATTCAAAGTTGTAAGATGATCGACCAAGGATGAGATACGCTCAAATGCGTATTTTCAAAAATGACGTCATCGATAAAATTCAGTTTTATTGAATTCAGATGGCAATCTGTCTTTGGTGTCAAATTGATTAGTGTCTACATCTATTAGTTATAGATATGAAATGCCGATTTGCTTTAATTGATTATATTATTATACTATATTAGCAGTATATTAGGGTGCGTTCGAGCCAGAAAAATATCCGTGCGAGGTCTGTGTATTTACATGGAAGTTAAATGCCGTGTGTGGCTCGAACGGGGGTAAGATGTAAAAAACATCTGGAACACGCTCGCATATTTTGACCACCAAATTTAGGGTTATAGAACCGTGTATCACTGTCAAAGGCCATTATCGCGACCATTAATCATGTTTTAATGACTCTACCGTCTGGCGGTCAACATGAATTCAATTCAACACGCGCGAAAACCATAGGCCTGTCCAGTTTTACAAAAACAAATGCATTCGCTGACCTGTTGTTAATGTTTTAGCATCATCTTCATCATTTCAACATGTCTGTGTGGACCGAACCTATGATACGTTACCTTCTCTCATTGTGGGGGGAGACAGAATACAAAGACAACTGGACGGCACCCCCCGAAACAGCGGTATTTACAAAGAAATAACTGCAAAGATCGAAGAAAAATTTAGGGGAAAGCTGACGATGACACAGGTCACCAATAAACTGAAGTATTTGCACAGGGGAGTACAGTACAAGTGTGTGAAGCGTGGTTAGAAACGTAAATATTGCGTGGCATGATGGGATATACTATTGCCTCGCTGACCTCAAACGAGTATTTCCGAGGTAAATTTTTACACGGTTAGACAAGATAAGTTTGTGCTCGAATGCGGGGACCCCCTGTGGTGTAAAGCCGTGCGTTTACCTGTCATATACACAGAATTTAATAGGCATGTATGGCTCGAACGCACCCTTAGTTACAGAGATATATAAATCCATTGAACTCTTAGTCGGAGGTGCACTTCAGGTCACTTTTTTATCATATATTCAATTAGACCGACATGATTTGATTTATTATATTTCTTGAATTTCTAAAATTGTCTACTGACAAAATTAGCGAAATTAAACCTTGTGACATAGGTCAATGATCAGTATCGGCATATTTGTTTTAAAAAAATGGTAAACATTTGTTTACAAGTCCTATGCAGTATCTGACCATTCAATACCTGGACGGGTAAAATCGAATTAGTGTTTGACAAGTTAATGAAGATTTATGACCCATTAAACAACTGAACATACTTGAATGAGGCATGGCTAGTTGATGATCACAGCAGGCAAAATAAACATGAGGCCTGACCCTAGTTCTAGCCTCTTTTTTTTGTTTTAATCTAATCGATTTTTGTTTGTGGTTATACTCTATGTATAATTAATTATGGAAGTAAACATTAAAGTTATGAATGGAAGTTGTTCACTGTGTATTTTTATTGTTTTATTTTTTAATATTAATGTACCAGCAAACAACACAAGAGTGATATTTGGCTTTAGCAAAATAAAAAAAAGCCTCCCTCCCTTAAAAAGCATTCCATCCTAAGTGGCGAGTGTACAGTAATTGCTGTTGGATGTGAAATTTAAAATAAAAATAACAAAAGCAAAATAAGAAGATTGAAGTTTGTCATAGTCGTATAATAATTCATTATTGTCCATTCATAAACAGAAATGTAATTTTTGAACTGGCATTTTGTACAATTGATTATTATTTGTGATTGTCTATTCAACAACTATACTAGAAAAGTATGTACATAAAATAATAGTGATAATACTCAATAGTGAATACTGTTAATGAGTTTGACTAGTATCATGTGCTATGTTTATGCTGAGAAACATTTTGACCTGTAGTTGGACCAGCTGTTTGGAAACATCACGTCACTGTCAGTGGCGGCGCCAGTGGGGTGGCGGGGGTCACAAGCCGGACAGAGCTCGTCGGGCAGTCAGACCATAAAACATATAAAAATAGGCCCACACCAAGCCAACACAGGTCTGTTACAGTCTGAGAGTGCCATTTTCGGCCATCCAGAGGTTGATATTCTTTTAAAAAAAAATCTCATTTGAGAGGGGTACCACCTCTCAACCCATTCCTCTAGCTCGAGCCTAAACAAAATAGGCGGCCTATTTTGTTTTTCCAAAATGGAAGCCAGTGGGCTTGACACTCAGCCGATGGGCGGGCCACGCCCGTCATTAGTAATCCCCACTGATTGTTGGTACGAAAACGTACATTCAATCAATAAACGTTATTTTTATCAAATGTAAATATGATTTAGCTTTAGTTTAATGTAACATTCGATAGATTTGAAGAATATAAAGAATTTGCTAAAGGTAGACCAGGTCCAATTAGGCTAGGCTGAGCTGATTATACATATATATATTGCTAATATACGCATGCACTATCTCGCCACTATATATTTTATATATTTCCAGTAGGGCCTAATAAATTTAAGTATGCTATCCCACCTATGAAATATTGTGAAATATTTGTTTTATTTAGTCCATCTTTAAAATATCATTTCGTGAAATATTGCACACAGGTAAGAAGTGAACGTGCCACAGTTTGAAACTGATGGGCACAGCCATGTTTTTTGTCTTGTCTTGTCTCCGGTCAACCACAGAGCGTTCCTCCTTGTTTCTCTTTTGCGCTGTGGATACGTCTACTTCCAAAGTGATGGAAATACCAACGCGCTGATTGGCCGACTTGGCTTTTCTGCACAAAGCATGAGACGTAAGCATCGGATCGGAGTTTAGTTTGCTAATGTAAACCTAATCCCGAGTAAATCATAATGCTTTGCATCGGCTGTACCGTGTATACAAATACACTCTTTTTATACTACTACTACTATAAAACTAGGCCTTTTCTAGATAGAAGCAAGGACTAGGCTAGCCTAGGCCTAGATTCTAGATGATGGAATGGAAATGCAGGGAGAAGCCCAGTCGGCTAGCAATCGGACGGATGGTAAACAAGCCTATGCATATATAAATTGCCTTCGTGAGGTGGAGTTTTTGAGTGTTTTGTGAAAAAAACAAAAACAAAAAAATTCAGGTCAGGGGCTTTTCCGACGGTCAGGCGGGGATGCTAACCAATTGTTTTATTTTATATGGCATTTGAAGCATGTCAATGGTCAAAAATGGCATTTCAGGTCATTTTCTAGCAAACTTTTTTATTAGACCGAATAGAAACATTAATGTTTCGAACAAATTGACACAACAATTACCTCTCTACCACTAGTGGTTGCGGAGATATGATCACAATATGGCTACGACCTTGAAACGTGTCAAAGACACGGCATTTCCAGTCATTTTCTAGCAAAATGTTCCATTAGAGCAAATAGAAACATGATTATTCTGAACTCAAAGTCACCAAAATTAACTCTCTACCATGAGTGGTTGGATAGATACGACGACCCTATAGCTATGACCTTTGACCCGGACATTTTGACCTTTCGCCACATTTTGGAAATGTGTTACTAAGCTAAAAAATGATTCTTTGACCCTAAGCCAATTTCTAAAGTCAAATTCTCTGGACCTCAAAATGCATACAAAACCTGGTCTGGCTACTAGGGTAATTCACTTTAAAGTGATTGAGGTGGATATACAATAAAAAATCTTGTAAAACTGAAGATAAAAACTGAGGGCCAGGTTTAGGGGCTGATAAATTAATTATTTTCCATCTTAGTTATTATACAGTGCTCGTCTTTCGTTGATAGGTAAGCAATCTAATTTATTTTGCAATACATGAAATGAGGATGTGCCAGGTTGCAAAATATCCCCCGTGAAAAATATTAGGCTTAGAAATCCATCGCTGCATTTCGAAAATATGAGCACAAATTTTGGGGTTGTGTAAAAGGGTAAAATCGTACATAATGGCCTATAAAAAAATTGCCAAAAAAATTGTTAAAGTTACTCTATTAATAATGGCCTATCAAAAATCCCCTTAGAAAAAAAAAATCATCTTTCTAGTTCCCTTTTAAACTGAATACACAGCGCTATAGTTCCATCACCAAAACAGCGGTTTGGTCAACACTATGTTGCTATTGGTATATTTTACAGTGAAAATGCTGAATAAGTTTAAAGAAATCTATTTGAAAGAATATCGTAAAGCAGCGGAAATTCTTCATTGTATACCTTCGCTATTAACTCCAAAAAAGCCGTCAGTCCGAAGACAAGCATACTCTCCCACATTTGATGAACTTAAGAAACAGATTCCTCCATTAAGACATGGGTTTGGTGAACATTGATTGACAACTGCAATAAATAAAACAATTATAAAGGCTATTATCACCATCTTTCAAATAAAGAATTACAAAGAAAAAAGTGAAAATTAATTTTTCTTCAATTTCAGATACTAGTACTTGATCAGAAAGGAATTTGTTATGCATTTATATTTAAAATCATAAAATGATATTTTAATAATTGTATTTTGACATGATAAAACATTCAGAACCAAGATCGTTTGGCATAACTGTTTCAATTATCGTTTTTAACCAAAATGTAGATAGCGACCCAAAAATAGGCCGCCAAATATGTTCAGTAAATATTGAAATGGTTACACCCAAACAGAATTCCGACAAAAAATAATTTTGAATCAATCGCCCGAACTGGAAACAGAAATTGAATATTAAATTATCTTAAAATTAACTTAATATGGAAATCAATACAAAACTCTAAGAAATTTCTGAATAATCTTGCTAAATGGTCAACTATATGGTAAATTAAACCTTGTCCGCGTGATAAAGTAATGTTACCTCTATTCAGCATTCAATGCTTCGTGTATGAACCTTTCAGACGAGGCCTTTTGTTGACACTTAAAACATGTTTAAATCATGGAGGAAATATTTTCCATGCTTGAATACAGTACACAGTGTCGTATATTATCATATTGCCTTTTCAGCAAGGGTTCATAATAAGTTAATAAAAAATAAAGTAACATGTCTTAAAATTGAAAACAATAAATAAAAATTAAATACCAAGAGGCGATTCAAATTCATGACGTTTGATTTTCTTATTCCCTTCGAATACATCACTAACCTATCGAATCATCCATGTCGACATGGTAATGGCAGTAATGTACAGTCGTTGCTGAAACCCTTGTTTTGTTTTGTAGGTGTAGGGGGAATCCTGGGGTCAAACTTAAAAAAAGGACCATGAACGTTTGTTGAAATAACCTCTAGTTTATGTGTACAACATTTCCTACACATTCAAAACTGGTGACGCTGGATGCTTTTACATTTATGGTAACAGCAAAAATAACAACCAGAACAGCAGTGAGGTGCTGGGGTTGGGATCATTATTTTATTTATTCCATTTAATGCTCTACACCTACAGAGAGTCTCAAAGTGCTCAAAGCGTAGAGTAACTTTCATCTCCCCTAAAAGGTCTTTAATATGCTAGTGTTCTATATTTTCCTCTAATATTGGTTTTTTTTTAGAAATACAATTATTAATTTTTATAAATTATAATGCTTAGAACGGCAGAACTTCAATGAGTATTTGATCAATACAATAAGCACCATCACCATGACAAATGTTAATACACACAATGTTGTTGCTATTGGTAAATTTTACAGTGAAAATGTTGAACAAACTGAAAAAAAAAATCCATGTGTGTGAATGTCGAAAAATAGCAGAAATTCTTCATTGTATACCTTCACAACGAGTTCCTAAAAAGCCGTCAGTACAAATACAAACATACTCTCCAAAATTTCCATGACTTCTGTAACAAGTTCCACCGTTAAAACATGGGCTTGTTGAACATGGATTAACAACTGCAATAAAAATAACGCAAAAGTTTAACACTTATAGAGGTTATTATTAAGGTTTATCTCATGGAAATTATGAAATAAAGAAACAAAATGAAAGCTCATTTTCATTTAATTTCAAATACCTGTACTGTACTTGATCAGAAAAGAATTTGTATTATATTTAAAAACATGGAAGAATATTCTAATAATTGATTGATCTTTGACACAAAATTTAGAAGCGGTATCGTCTGGCGTAGCAGTTTCTATATACAGGTTGTTGACCTTGTGTTCACTAGTTTAAACCAGCACTTCACAAAATGTTTAAGTTCTAGTTCATTTTTGGTCATATACAGTATTGAATACAATACATGAGATTAGCTTTCCTGGTACACTAATATACTAAAATATAAGATATAATTAAGATATTGCACAGAATAAGACACACTGAGAATATAAAAATTTAAATAGAGCAAACAAATAAAATTATCAAAGAAATCTTAAAGAGATGCCAACTTTTTCATTCCAAAATCATTTAAAGTAAGTTTCAAATTTTATTTTATTTTATTTTATTCTTTGTCTTTATTTCTACTATATATGTTTCTTGTCACTGTACCACTTTGAAAATCAGTACTTTGGTACTGAAAGTGCCTACAGTATAAAGAGAGATTAAATAAATAAATAAATTGTCTAACATCTTTCCACTAGGAATGAATGAGTTGTGTGTCTATTTGTTTTTATGTCAATGAAGTAACAATTCTACCTGAGTAGCTAAAGCTGATATGATTTTGAAGTCGGTGGTTATTATCATACATTTTGTTTAACATAGCAACTTTAATAATTTCTTTCAAGATTTTATATTAGGGAAATTCCATAAATACATACATTTCAGACACTTTGTGAATCTATATTTTCATAATGAAGCTTGTAAATTATTTTGTATGTGTGCATTACATCTACTAGTTAGTACTGTCAGGCCACCAACTTTTATATTTTAACTCGTACACGTCACAGAGATACGGGTCAAAATGGCCCTGTGAAGGACGTAATCAAAGAAATCGACTTTTCCTACAACAAAATACATTTTTAAAAATCTCTGTGATGTGTTAGGCATTTTGAAAAAAAAAAATTCTTTTGTTATCCACTAATGTGTGGGCTCTCTAGCAGAATATAAATTGAATTTGATTTTTCCATTTTCTTTAGAAAAAAACATCATAAAATTACTGTGACGGACATACAATTTTATTGTGATGGACATATTTGTCAGAATTGTGACAGACGTACATATCTACATCTAAAAATACACACACACACACAAAAAAATCTACAATCTAAATGGTTTTATTGTTTAAATCCTAAACTCGCTCCTATGATATAAAAGTACCAAAATATGCTATATTATAAACTTTTTCAAAATAATGAGTGTAGAATATATCAAAGTATTTGGGTCATTTTTTGTCAAATAATCCTCCGTTTACTCATTTGATTTTGATTAGTTGGTTACAATAATCTAATGATAGGATCAAAATGAATGATAGCAAAATTTAGCCTTTTATTGGTTGCTGTTTTATTTATAGCCTTATGCCAAAAAAGGGTGATGTAAATTCAGGGTTTCTTCTGAATCCAGGAGCTTAAAAATACTTGAATGAAAAATGATACACTGTTATACATCAAGAGTATAGCTATATTTTCGCCATACCGTATTGTCTCTAATAAACGCCCCTCTGAGTTTTTTTCATTTTGCGATGAGTACCCAATCAATTAACATGGGTATCCAGTCCATAAAAAGGTAGACAAACAAGGAGTAATACCGTACTGTGTGCTGCTTTCTTTGATATGAAATTAAATAAATACTACTCGAAAAAGCTTACCCTAAAATGTTTGATGTTTACTGTCTTCAAGATCACTAGGCCTATTTTGTGTTTCTCTCATGGTATTTCGTTAGCCTTGTAAAAACAGGGTAAAGCTGCAAACTGACGGCAAACAACGGGTAATCGTGTATTGTTAATGTTTTTCGCGTGTTTGACGCTGATTTGATTCAAAATGTCTGGTCAATGAAGTTTATACCGTAGTGATGTTTCTTCAAGTTGAGGGCAGATGTTTTGCGTGTGGTGGTGCAGTGCTAGTTCATGAGGCCGACATGTTTTTGACAAGCATGCGATTGCTGTTGTGAAAGGAGAAGCACCGCGCTGCATCGTCGGACATTTACCCCAAGAGAACTAGAAGATATTTCATTTCTTTTTGAAACACAAGGAATTATTGATGTTCAAATAACCAGCAACAAATGAAGGAACAGCAAAATAGCAGGAGGCCTGGAGATACCCTGCACATTAACTTGTTCCTCTACAAATAAAGAACTTATCGACCATTTAAAGCAGCTTGTTTCGGTAATTTTTGATTTTACAATTCACCTCTAGTAAACGCCCCCACGTCAAAGGTCAGAACAGCATTTCTGGTCATTTTTTAGCAAACTGTTTTGTTACACCAAATAAAAACACGAATGTTCCAAGCAAATTGGTACCAAAAGTAACTCTCTACCACCAGTGGTTGTGGAGGTATGAGGATTCTGTGGCTATGACCTTCAATCATGTCGAAGGGCAGAAACGGCTTTTCCGGTCGTATTTTAGTAAAATGTTCTATTAGAGCAAATAGAAACATGAGTATTCCGAACAAATTGGCACCAAAATTAACTCTCTACCTCCAGTGGTTGTGGAGATAATAAGGACTCAATAACTATGACATGAAACATGTCAAAGGTCAAAAACAGCATTTCCGGTCATTTTCTAGCAAACTTTTCTATTAGACCAAATAGAAACATCAATGTTCCGAACATATTGACACCCCAATTAACTCTTTACCACCAGTGGTTGCGGAGTTATAATGACCCCATTGCTATGACCTTGCAATGTGACAAAGGTTACAAACAGCATTTCCGGTCATTTTATAGCAAAATATTCTATTCGAGCAAATAGAAACATGAATGTTCTGAAAAAATGGGTACCAAAATTAACTCTCTACCACCAGTGGTTTCGGAGATATGACAACCATATAGCTATGACTTTTGACCCTGACCTTTTGACCTTTTGCCACATTTTGAAAATGTGTTACCAAGACAAAAATGTTTCTAGGACCCTGAAGCAATTTCTGAAGTCAATTCTCTGCACCTCAAAGTGCATACAAAACCTGGTCTAGCTCCTCGGTATTTGAAATTGCATTAACATTTTTAAATCCTTGTTATTTTTAAACAAATGTTTTGTGAGGAAGATAAGTATGCGTATTTTCAAAAATGACAGATAAAATTCAGTTTTCTGAATTCAGATGGCAATATGACGATACGTTCAAATGAGTTTTAAAAAAAAGATGTTATAAATAAAAATTCAGTTATTTTTAATTTAAATAGCAATATGATGACGTCACAATGTCCGTTCAGTCATAATGATCTATAAAATCATATCTAACTCATGGGCTTTCAGAATATGTAATAAAAATTGGGGGTCACCTTTCATCATAAGGAGCTATATCTGATTTTAGCATAATTTTACTGTATATCGACACAAATGCATGCAAAGTTCACTATGTTTGATGCGTGCGTACGGCATTGTCATTAAACATAAGATGATAGAAAAGATCGGAAATATGTGAAAACAATGTCAGGAACCCAAAAGAAGTACAAAACGTAATTTCTAGCTTCCGTACGTGCTGGGCGCGTAAAAATTTGCGGGCGTAGTGGAAAATTTCAAAAAAATTTAAAATGCTCAAAATGGCCTAAAACATGCTCTACTTAACTCAAAAAGTGATTTTGCGCATTTTTGAAATTTTGACGCACACGTGTGCGTGTGTTATGAAATGCACGCATAAAATTAGGGTACATTACATTAAACATTAACCTGAAGTTAATGCTCACTTAATACGATTTCGAAATGGCAATTGGTTAGGCTATGACTGATAATGTAAAAACGCAAAATTGCGCGTAGATGAAGCAGAATATTCGTTGAAGTGCGTTGTGCGTAGCTCGCAGCAATTTTGAGATATCGTTCGAACAGAAAACGGGGGAAAGAAAGAAAAATAAACTAAATTTGAACTCATCACTGAGGACGAGTTAGGTGATCCGCCGCACTTTGACCCTCAAGGAAGTTTGCGCGGTGCAAAATGAAAAATTTTTAAATGATGAAAATGGCCTAAAGTATACTAATATACTGCTAATTCAGTTTTTTTTAAAGAATTTGGAGCATTTAAAAAAATTAACGCATGCGTACGCATACGCCATGACGCACGTGCGCATGGAATGTCAAGAAATGTTCACTCATGATATGAGATATATGTATTAACTCTCATTGACAAACGCCTGTTGTTAAGGGACTTATTATCATTCATAACAATTCAGTTTTTTGAATTCACGATCAGCCATAATGATCTATAAAAGCATATCTAATACTGCTTTCAGAATATGCAATAAAAATTGGGGGTCACCTTCCATCCTAAGGAGCTATTCAACTGATTAAAAATATTCATGATTTTAGGCATATATAAATTTTAACAAACGCGTAAATAAACGGAAAATTAGGGTACATGACATTCAACCTTGACCTGAAGTTTATGCTCACTTAATATGATTCAGAAATGAATGGTTAAGATGATATGGGGTCATTAACATTTTGAAGAATGAAAGGTGAGGGCGGTCAGAAAAAAACATTTGTTTTGATTATGACGACATCATCAAAACGTAAAAAGAAGTCACATATATGAAAGAGAATTGTTTCAGCTATAACATACTCAAAGTTGAGAGACAATAGACCAAGGAGATACGCTCAAATGCGTATTTTCAAAAATTACATAATCGATAAAATCAGTTTTGTTGAATTCAGATGGCAATATGATGACTTCACAATGTCCGATCATGATCTATAAAATCATATTTACAACTTATGTGCTTTCAGAATATGTAATAAAAATTGGGGATCACCTTCCATCCTAAGGAGCTATAACTGATTAAAAATAAGCCTGATTTTAGCATATTTTCACTGTAT